TGTGAGTGTCGGGGAGTGTGTACAGACCTACGTGTGTCTAGAATATAGGTCTGTGTGTATATATGTGTGTGTTTGTGTGTGTATGTTTCTGGAAGTATGGATCTTTATGTGTCTGTGAGTATGGATCTGTAAGTAGAGATCAGCAGCACTCCATATGAAAAGACGCCTCTGCGACAGGTCCTCAGGTAAATTTGAGTTGACACCCCTGATATAAATAATGCAGTAGAAGGAAATGATACAATCGAAATTACCCCCATTTTCAATGCATTCAAATAAACTCCAAAAAAAATCATTATTATAATAAATTTAAATAAAAACGATACTTACCATGAACGATCCCGGCAGAGGCTCAGTTTAGTGGGACTGACTGCAGTTACAGGCTGACCCCTATTTGAGCAGGAAGAGGCTCCAATCAGGAGCATACTATTTTGGATTATACCCAGCCTGAGTTTATAGGATAAGAATATTATCAGTTCCAAACATCACATATGATGAGCAGAACTGTTCTGTATACAGATAGCGTCCATACCACCATTGCTATCAGTTTATACACAGTCCAGCTCACTGTTTAATGAATTGGGCTGTGTGCACATCTTGGCAGAGGAGAGAGATCCCAGTTCAAGTTGTGTGTGTCGTATGGACGTCGCAGACACAGGTTGGACAAATCTGATCTTCCTTACCAGGATGTCAATCAAACAGCCAGCGGAAGGTGGAGCTTCATGCTCCAAATCTAAAAAGATAAAATCTGAAAACTGACATTGAAGGTGAGTCCCTGCACCAGAACTACTTCAGAACTACTTCAACAAGATAAAATAGTATTGGTGCAAAGTACAGTGTACATGTTAGGACATATTTCTTCTCACCTCCAACCACTGTAATGAGAGCTTAGTCCAAGTTCTATGCTTGCTGCTCGTACATACAATCTACGTACTTGCCGCTCTTATGTGTCATATGCACAATGTAGAGTACAATGATATCAGACGGCCAGTATTGAGAATTCCAATTGCTGCAACTGACCGAACTGTGTGGCTGGCTTATTGCAGATATAAACCACTCACAGAGATAGACTCTATGCACCATCAATATTGCAGTGATGCAAAGTTGTGATGGTGCTTAGACTGATCCATTAATGACGGTGGGAGAGGAAGCTGGTGATGGTCAGTAGTGATGTGAGAGGGAGGGGTATTGATTAATGATGATGGGAGAGAGTGAAGTCTAATGGTGGTCGGAGGAGGGGTTGATACGTATGTTGACAATAATCTTCATTAGGCATCACCCCTACTCTCTCCGATCACCATGAGACATCAACCCTCCTTTCTCCCATCACCATCTGACATCAGATCCTCTCTCTCACAGTTTAATTAGACATCTCCTGTGTCTGGGTGTATCTGTATGGATGTGTCTGGCTGTGTGTATGTGTGTATAATAGTGTGTATCTGCCAGTATTTATATGTATGCGTGTCTGGCAGTGTCTGTCTCTGTGTAAGTCTGTGTATCTGTGTGTGATGGGGCAGTGTGTATCTCTGTGCTTTGCAATATGTATTTGTGGTTACATGTGTCTCAAATTGTGTATTTCTGTGCATCTCACAGTGTGTACATGTGTGTTTCTCACATTGCGTAACTGTATTTGTGTGCCTGTGAATATATATGTAAGTGTGTGTGTGTCTAGGAGAAAGTGTCCCACTCAGTGGTGTTGTATGCATTCTGATGTCAGCCCTAATCACCCCATCCCTCTCCCACCTTCATTAAGATTACTGAGTGCAGCAATTGGCTGAGCCATGGTCTGTGCATGGCAAGTTGGCTCTCAATCTCTGGGAAGAAGACAGAGCTCAGTCTGAATTCTGAACGTGACATATGCAAGCCACACGCACAATGTGGACAAAATTGATATGAGGAAGTTGGAACTAAGAGTACAAACTGCTGGTTGACAGCTGTGAGGGGCCGGCTTATAACTGTGGGATGTTTACAAATCTCTGCAGTTCCAAGTTACTCAAAGAGCTTAGAGCAAGTTCAGGGTAATCTATTCACCATTAACACTGCAGTGACGCAAAGTTGTGATGGTGCTTAGACTGACCCTGTAATGGTGGTGGGAGAAGAAGTTGGTAATGACCAGTAGTGATGTAAGAGGGGGATGGTGATGCCTAATGATGGTGAGAGAGGGAAGGGGTAATACACATTACCCCTGCATTCTCTCATCACCATTAGACATCACCAATAGTCATCACTCTCTCACTTTCACACCTTTATCCGGCAATTCCAGGGCTGCCATCAGGAGCGTATCTGTGTGTTTCTGTATGAGTGTGTCTGGCAGTGTGTATCTGTCTGGCAGTGTGTTTCTGTATGGGTGTGTCTGTTAGTGTGTATCTGTCTGACAGTGTGTCTGGCAGTGTGTATCAGAATGTGCATCTGTCAGAGTTTATGTCCGTGTGAGTTTGTATGTATTACAGTATTTTAGTGTGTATTTGTGAATGTCTCATAGTGTGTATTTGTGTGTGTCTCACAGTGTGTATCTCTGCTTGTGTGTGTCTGCGAGTATGTATGTATGAGTACGTGGGAGGTTATGTATGCATGATGTGTCTAGGAGAATGTGTCCAGGGGAGTCCAGTCAGTGATGTTGTATATGATCTGATGGCAGCCCCGATTACCTCATCCCTCTCTCACCTTCATTATGATTGCTGCATGCAGCGATTGGCTGAGCCATAGCCTGAGTATGTGCAGTGCACAGGTGGGCCCAATCTCTGGGTAGGAGATAGTGCTGAGTCTATATATGCCCAAAATGGACAAATATGATATCAGGCGGCCAGAATTTAGAGTTTCAGCAGGCGACTGGCAGCTCTGAGGGGCCGGGTGATTTTAGAAATCGCTGCAGTTTTAAGCCACTCACAGGCCTCTGGGCACCATCAATGTTGCAAGGTTGTGATGGTGCTTAAACTGTCCCTTTAATGGGTGGAAGAAGGAGTGGGTGACAGCCAAGAGGGATGTGAGAGGGAGGGGTGTTGATTAATGATGGGAGAGAGTGAAGTCTAATGGTAATAGGCGGAGGGGTTGATACATATGTTGATAATCACCATTAGGCATCACCCCCACCCTCTCCGATCACCATTAGACATCACCCCCCCCTTTCTCTATCATCATCAGACATCAGTCCCTCTCTCTCACATTTTAATTTGGCATCTCCAGGGCTGCCATCAGTGGGTTGTCTGGGTATATTTGCATGTGTATCTGTTAGTGTATATTTGTACGTGTGTCTGATAGTGTGTATTTGTGTATAAGAATGTGTATGGCAGTGTTAAGATGTGCATGCGACTGTCAGTGTTTCTGTGTGGCAGTATGTATTTTGTGTGTGTGTCTCACAGTGTGTTTTTGAATTTGTGTCTCTGCAGGTATGAATGTATGTATGTATGTATGCGTTTGTGTGCGTGGAGGCTTGTGTATGTATTTGGTAGAGTGTGTGTTTTGTGGGAGTCCATTCAGTGTTTTGTATGAGCTCTGATGGCAGCCCTGATCACCCCATCCCTCTCTGAGTACCATTATGAATGTTGCATGCAGCAATCAGTGGAGCTACAGTCCATAAATGTTAGGTCTACAGCTTTGCTCTCAATCTCTAAGAAGGAGAGAGAGCTCAGTCCAAATTGTGCGTGCGGCGATGGGGAAGAAATTGATATCAGACAGCTGGAAAACTCAATTCCAGTTTACAGAAATCAATTTTGTCTGACAGTTCTAAGGAAAAAAACAAATAAGGAGTGCCTGCACACAAATAGTGATGGTTAGGAGGAAGCAAATAATGGAGTCACAACACCAGCAATTAAATGAAGAAGGAATTCATTCACCAGCACGTGGGCCCAGCAACGTTTCGACACACAGAAGGAGTGTTTGTCAAGTCTGGCTTGACAGACATCTTTTCCGTGAGTTGAAATGTTGCCGAGTTCACGTGCTGGGGTAATAAATTCCTTCTTTATTTAATTGCTGGAGTTGTGAATCCATTACTTGTTGACAGTTCTGAGGATCCGGCTTATAGCTGTGTGATTTACACAAATCACTGCAGTTCTAAGTCACTCACACACCTGAGAGCAAGTACATGATACTCTATTAACCATCGACTTTGCAATGATGCAAAGTTGTGATGGTGTTTACAATGACCCTTTAATGATGGTAGGAGAGGGAGTGGGTGATGGCCAATAGTGATGTGAGAGGGAGGGTACTGATGAATAGTGATGAGAGAGAGTGATGACTAATGGTGATGGGAGAAGGAGGGGCATCACCCCCACCCTCTCCTATCATCAGTAGGCATCAGACCCACTCTCTTACATCTCCATTAGGCATCTCCAGGGCTGCCATCAGTGGGGTAACTGTGTGTATCTGGCAGTGTGTATTTGACGGTGTGTGTCTGTGTGGTGTGCTGTCTGTGTGTGCTTTTGGAGTGTATCTGTTTAGGTGGCAGTCTGTTTATATGTATTTGTCTCACAATGTGTATCTGTGTGTGTGTGTATGTCAGTTTAGCAGAGTGTCTCTATGTGAGGGAATGTGGGAGTATATATGTCGGTATGTCTTGAAGACTGTATTGAGGGTATATCTGTCAGTGGTTTTTTTAAAAGACCCCACAATATCTGATGGCAGCTCATGGTCAATCTCTAATTCTCTCTCCCACCACCATTATGGACTGGCCCACTCCCATCACTATAAGACAACCCATCTCCTCCTACCATCACTAGGCTAGGCATCTCCTTGAGCCTTTCTTTGTCTCACAAGCAGCAGCATGAGCTATCACCCCATCCCTCTCACCATCCATGTAACCACACTGCAGCCTCCAGCAGCAGACCCAGGCAAGGATTAGCCTCGCTCTGAAGGCCCCCACTTACCCTGCCCTGGTACTTAGTGAACAGGGAATGCAGAAGCAGCCCAGATGAAGTCAGCCGTCACACCATGCGCCCGTGGCCGGCCCCACAAGCTGCTACCGGTGGCGGAGCCAAGGGGGGAGCACCAGGGCGGATGCCCCTCCACCCCCCACCCGAGAAACTAGGGACCAAATGAACCCTTGGACTAGATTTGAGGTTTTATTATGAAGACTTTGAATTAGGCTGTCTGATATTCTAGTATTGCATTATTAAATTAAGTTATTGAACAGTGAATATGCCTGATTTTTTAAAATTAGTCCTACATACTAATCTAGTTGAAGAAATACTCAAGCCCATAAACTTTAACCCTGAAAACACAGCTTTATATGCTGTTGATCCAAAAGACCCCATAATAACAATCAGATTTCTCAGAGGATCAAGAATCTTGGATCATCAATTCACGTACAGGTTACATACATATAAACTCGACATATACTCTCAATTTTTATATGCAGTGATGTGGACAGTAACTCTGACACTCAAAGTTCAAGGAGTAGTCCCTCCTCCCTACTCCAGGCAGTTGGTGGGAGTGGAGTACACTGTTTGCTTTATTTCATGTCTATACTGTTATCATGATCCCCTGATGATAGCAATGCCTTTCTTCTATGGTGTACAGGCTCAGACATCCCAAAGAAAAGTGAATAGGTGATGTTAGAAAACCTTTCTAGGTGCAGACTGAGCATGTTTGAGATATATCCTCAGATGGAGCAATTTCCTACAATGTTCCAAGATCTCGACATGCCCAGTTACCTCAACAGCTAATCCAGGCTACCATTAGCCAGGGGAGGGGAAAAGGTAGCACTGATATCATACAGTTAGATACAAAAGGCAAAGTCCTCCCTTTTCCACTGCCCCAGGAAAAAAATCTCAATAGTCCAAATCACCGCTAATAGTTTTTGTGACGTTTTGTTTTTACAGTTTTGGTCCATTGCAACATTTATCCTTAAACAAATAAACTTGGGCTTCTGGAAGGACATCTGATGGTACATTGTCTGAAGTAAAAAAAAAAAAAAGTACAAAGTCACACTTGCTTCTATAACGGAGATACCACTCAGACTTTTAGTAAGACATCCACACTATAAAACACACCCATAATATAAATAGAGAGTTCGGATAAAAGCAATGATTTTTCGAAAGTAAGTTTAGCCAATTCCCATTCGGACAAAGAAAAACATGTTTCTATTTTTTAAAGTTTCATGTAATGAAACACTTTAGGGTCAGAAAAACAAACATGTATTCCTGACTCTATAGTGTTTAAACCACCATTTAAGTGGCTTGTTCCTCTGCACCCCCCTTAGCTCCCCTATAAATTAATAAAACTTCCCTCATTTCCGTTTTGCACAGGCCCCGCCCCTGACTCGCCTCCTTGCTGACATTATCACAATTCGTGATTTTAGCCAATCCAATGCTTTTCAGTAGGGAAAGCATTGAATTAGCAGAAATTAGTAATTGATTCAGTGCATCTCTAAGAGGAATATGTTAAAGGAACATTATATTGTTAGGAATACAAAGCTTTACTCCTAACACTATAGTGTCCATCTGCCCTCACCCCCCTCCCCCTTCCTTGTGGCAATGTAAGGGTTAAATAACATTTAACCACTTAACTTATTCCAGCACTGAGGTCTCTCAGCGCCATCTCTGATTGGCCCAAAATGTACAATTGTCAAACTCTTACCTAGCTGTACATACGTGTCTTCCTTCATCTTACACTGGCTCCCAGATCCATCCATGGTCAGTCTCCAGGCTGGGAATACTTTTTTTTTTTTATATATATATATATATATATATATATATTTTTTTTTTTTTTTTGCAGAATGCTATTGTGTATGATGTCTCTGCAATTCAAATATGAACATGTTTTACTGAGTGTTCTTTAGCCAATATGGTCCATGGTTGATTGACTTAATTAGCCCAAACCCTAAAAGCTTAAAATTCTTACTCAGTAAGTAGCTGTCAGACCCCAATGGTTACTCAGGTGATAGCTCCACATACATGTTTTCTTAGATCTTCAACCTGTTCCTGAATCCATCCAAGGTCAGTCTCCAGGCTGTGTATCTTCCACTGCAGAAACTTATTGTGGTCGGTGACTCTGCAATTCAAATATAAACATGGTTTAGTGAGTGTTCTTTAGCCAATATGGTCCACGTGTGATTGAATTAATTAGCCCCAGACCATAACATCTTAAAATTCTTACTCAGTAGCTGTCAGACCCCAAAGTTTACTCAGGTGATGGTTCCACGTATGTTACATAGTTACATAGTTACATAGCTGAAAAGAGACTTGCGTCCATCAAGTTCAGCCTACCTCACATTTGTTATTTGCTGTTGATCCAAAAGAAGGCAAAAAAAACCCAGTTTGAAGCACAATTTTGCAACAAGCTAGGAAAAAAATTCCTTCTTGACCCCAGAATGGCAGTCAGATTTATCCTTGGATCAAGCAGTTATTACCCTACATTGAAAGATTATATCCTTGAATATTCTGTTCTTGCAAGTATGCATCTAGTAGCCGTTTGAACATCTGTATGGACTCTGATAAAACCACTTCCTCAGGCAGAGAATTCCACATCCTGATTGTTCTTACAGTAAAAAAACCTTTCCTTTGCCTTAGACGAAATCTTCTTTCTTCCAGTCTAAACTCATGACCTCGTGTCCTATGTAAAGTCCGGTTTGTGAATAGATTTCCACACAATGGTTTGTATTGGCCCCGAATATATTTGTATAATGTTATCATATCCCCTCACAGGCGACGTTTTTCTAAACTAAATAGGTTTAAATTTGTTAACCTTTCTTCATAGCAGATATGTTCCATTCCTTTTATTAATTTTGTAGCCCGCCTCTGCACTTTTTCTAGTGCCATAATATCCTTCTTTAGAACAGGTGCCCAAAATTGCACAGCATATTCAATATGGGGTCTTACCAGTGATTTATAAAGAGGCAAAATTATATTCTTGTCCCGACAATGAATGCCCTTTTTCATGCATGACAATACCTTACTGGCCTTGGCCACTGCTGATTGACATTGCACATTGTTGCATAGTTTGTTATCTATAACAATTCCCAAGTCCTTTTCGTGTGTTGTTATCCCTAATTCGCTTCCATTAAGGGTATACGTTGCTTGTGTATTCTTTACGCCAAAGTGCATAACTT